AATTACTAAGTTCCAAACAAGGTGCCTGGCTGTTATGACTCAGTTGGTTGGGTGTCATCCCATGCACTGAAAGGTTGCTGGTTTGATTCTGATCAAGGGCACATGCCCAGGTTGTGGGCTCGATCACCAGTGGGGGGCATGCAGGAGGCAACCAATTAGTGATTCTCTCTCGTCACTGATGTTTCTATCTCTCTCTCCCTTCCTCTCTGAAATCAATGAAAATATATTTTTTAAAAAACACTGTATTTGTGACTAACTCAGAACCCTGTGCTTTATCTTCCAACCTAGTTTATCCATTAATAGTGCAGATGGCTCTTCTAGATATGATAGTGGCACAGCAAGGAGAATCCTTTTCCCCCTTTTCTCTTCTCAAGAAAGAATTACTAGTATATGGTTTTCCCATACCATCATCAGAAACTTTCATTTACTTTTTCCATCCCAGAGAAACAGAAATGGGATTATGACTAATTAATTGGTTAAAAGTTGCTCTTCGTTTATCAGCATTTGGTGGCAAGGAACTCATATTTAGCAGCCTATGTCCCTGTCAGTTACTTGACTTAATCCTTGTGATAACCCTCTGAGGTAGGAATCATTATCTCCATTTAACAGGTGAGACAACAAAGGCTCAGAAAGATGAAGGCATTTGCCCAGGGCCACACAGCTAGTAAGTAGCATTGTAAGGATTCAAACCTATGTCTGACTCCAAAGCCCCATGCTCTTTCCATTACTTGGTGCCAAATATTTTCAGCATGTGTACATGTGTATCTATAAGGCCAAACACTATGCTGTGTGGCTGAGCCCTTGAGCAGTATGACCTTTGATAGCACATTATAAGCTCCTGGGAGGGGCCCTCTTCTCTCCCAGTGGGCCAAATGCCTTGCTCCTTCATTAGCAGCCTGGGAGTCAGGCTGGTCCATACACTGCTCTGGTTTCCCATGCCCAAATGCCAAGCTTACATGCATCTTTAAAGTGGTGCCTGGGCTCTCCTGTCACACTACTAGCAGAATGATGAACAAAGGTGGACCTGACATTGAAGAGCTCTTGGCTTCCTGCTGCTCTCTAATACAACCTCCCAATTCAGGCACTCGTATTTGGAATTTAAGACAATTCTACTAAGAACTTTTACACTGAATCTAAATAAATGCAAAATGCACTCTTGTGTGCAACTTGTAACATAAACCTTACACTTACAGAGAGATTTGGCCTCTCTAAAGCTCCTCTGCAGCCATTTGATTTTGCCAACAGTTCTGTGATATAGACATTTAGGGAAGTTGCAATATTCTGATTATCATTTTTATTATTACTCCTATTTTACAGATGAGAAAACCAAGGCCCCAATAGGCATGGCGACATGCCTATGGTAACCCTATGAGGGCTGAGAGTTAGTGTTCTACCTCTGAAATGGCCTTTAAATATCCCATGAGAGATCTCCTTTGTGATCCCTACTGAAGACTGATTTACATGATGACAATTACTATACTAATCACAAATCTCCGACAATTATTACTACCATCTTGTAAATGCTTACTGTGCTGGCCACTTTGCTACATGCTTTATTTATAATGCAATATTTAATTGGATATTCATAATCCTCTGAGGAATAGGTCCCATTATTACTCCCATTTTATAGATGAAAAAACTGAGGCTTAGAAGGCTTATATGACATACTCAACACCATAAAGTTAGGAATTGATAGACCCTAGACACAAACCTAAGACTGCCCGATCCCAGAACCATGTTTCACTAGTCTGCAGTGCCTCTAAAGTTGAGTTCAATATTGGAAGCCACTAGGCACATATGGCTATTTAACTTTAAGCTAATTAAAATTAAATTAAAAGCCAGCTCCCGTCCTGCTTGGGTCACTTAATTGGTTGGAGCATTGTCCCATGCACCAAAAGGTTGTGGGTTCAATTCCCAGTCAAGACACATACCAAGAATGCAGGTTAGATCCCCAGTTGGGGCATGTATGGGAGGCAACCAATCAATGTCTCTCTCTCTCTCTCTCTCTCTCTTTCTCTCTCTCTCTCTCTGTCTCTTCCTCCCTCCATCTCTAAAATCAAGAAACATATCCTTGAGTGAGGATAAAATAAAATGTTTTAAGCCAGCTCCTCAGTCACACTAGCCACATTGCAAGTGTTCAATAGCCACACATGGCTAAGTGGCTCTTGTATTGAACAGCACAGATAGAGAACACCACAGAAACTTCCATCACCACAAACGTCTATTGAATAGTGCTGATCTAAACACTTAAGGGTGGTCCTCCTCAGGCTTCTACTTTGGTAAGGTGTTATTAGTTTAAGGCAGAGTTTCTCAGTCTTGACACGATTGGCATATGGGCTGGACAATTTTTTGTTGCAGAAGGCTCTTCCTGTGTATTGCAAGAAGAGCCTACATGTTGAGCAGCATCCCTGGCCTCTACCCACTAGATGTCAGTAGCACACTTCCCATCTAGTCTTGTGATATGTCAAAATGTCTGCAAACATTACCAAAATTCCCACACCCCTGCTAAAAACCTCTGGGTTAAGGTTAGCTTATGTATTTGAAGTAATCAAACAGCAAATCTTTTCACTGCCTAAACTTGGTCTTCATTTCTTCCAGTGAATCATAGTTTACAGCAATTTACATTAAATGGGTAGTTTTAATACCTATTGAAGATTTCGTGAAAGAGTAAAAACCATTTAAAGTAGCAGAATGAACCCTGGCCAGTGTGACTCAGCTGGTTGGAGTGTCATCCCCTACACCCAAAGGCAACGGGCACATACTCAGGTTGCGGGTTCGACTGTTTCTCTCTCTCCCTTCCTCTCTCTAAAATCAACTTTTTAAAAAATGATAGCTTCACCCTAGTTGGTTTGGCTCAGTGGATAGATGGTCCCAGTTTTGATTCCAGTCAAGGGCACATGCCCAGGTTGTGGGCTCGATCCCCAGTATGGGGTATCCAGGAGGTGGCCAATCAATGACTGTCTCACCATTGATGTTTCTAATGTTGCTATTTCTCTCTCCCTCTCCCTTCCTCTCTGAAATCAATAAAGATATATATATATTTTAAAAGATTTTCTAAAAACATGATAGTTTCTGCAGTCAAAATATAATTTAAAAAATAAAGCAAGATTAACCAAAGAACGTATATGCATATATGCTGATAGCTTCACCCTAGTTGGTTTGGCTCAGTGGATAGATGGTCCCAGTTTTGATTCCAGTCAAGGGCACATGCCTTGGCTGTGGTCACATCCCCAGTGGGGAGTGTGGAGGAGTCAGCTGATCGATGGTTCTCTCTCATCGATGTTTCTAACTCTCTATCCTTCTCCCTCCCTCTCTATACAAAATCAATAAAATACATTTAAAAATAAATGAAATCAATAAAAAAATATTTTTAAAGTAAAAACATGATAGTTTCTGCAGTCAAAATATAATTTAAAAAATAAAGCAAGATTAACCAAAGAACGTATATGCATATATGCATAGCCCATGGACACAGACAATAGTGTGTCTTTTTCCCAACATTAGTTCTTCCCTGGGGTGGGGAGGGGAGTGGAACCAGATGGAGGAGGGTAATAGCGAAAAGTGGGGGATTATTTGTAATACTCTCAACAATAAAGATAACATTTTTGAAAGCAAATGAAAAAAAACAAGTAAATAAATAAAATAAAGCAGCAGAATGAGGCCCTGGCTGGGTAGCTCAGTTGGTTAGTGTTATCCCGATATGCCAAGTTTATAGGTGTGATCTCAGACCAGGGTACATACGATAATCAACCAATGAGTGTATAAATAAGTAGAACAACAAATTGATGTTTCGCTCTCTCTCTCCTTTCCTCTCTGTAAAAAAATCAATTAAATAAAATTTAAAGCTGCAGAATGAGAGTGAAGATGCTAATGAAGATTACTCTAATGTACTGTACAATTAGCTCCCCAAATTTCCTATCCATTAACTATAACTATAAAATTGTGAAGGAGTCAAATGAATTGGTTTATTGAATGTTAAAGTAGAAAATAAATTAATAAATGACAAGAGCAACCAACTTGCATACTACATTTTGGCTACTAATTTCTAGAAATAACAAACAACAAAAATTATGCTACTTCAGAAATTGGGAAAAGAATTCCAAAACTGCTAAAGTTGACCCAAAAGAAAAAGAACTTTTAAAGGATTCAAGAGAAACTAGTGGAAACATTCCCATATAAAATGCTGAAATTTTGGTTACTGATGAAATCATATACCTTTCCACATTTTAATATATTCCCAAGGAAACTAAACATAAGGCACACTTTTTTCAAATGAAACTTGTCAACTACATCTTCAGAGAAACCTCCGAAAGATTTTAAAACCACTCCCCCTAAATGGATCTTTACAAAGTTAAATATTTTAACTATGTTATAGTCAACAGAGACAAACTTTTGGTAAACTGGTAAACATAGCAAATAGTTTATTCAAGAGCTTTCCCAAAGGTGGGCCTTCCCAAATTTCTCCCCTACCCAGTGCAAAAGGTGAGGCTGGGGACCTGGGTAGTGCTGCCCCCTAGTTGACACCTGACACTCCATCGGCTCCCCTGAGCATTCTAATGAAAGGGAACCTACTTCGAACAGATGCCACAGGGTGAATGCAGGTTAGCAAAATGCAATGACTAGTCTGGGCCCCTGGCCAGGGAACTGGAGTTAACAGCCTTTCTTCTAAAACTAAAAGGGGGGAAAAACATGGAAGATGAGAAGAAGAAAAGGAAGCAAAGTGCAATAGGGATCTCTAATGACTACATTAAATGCTCTTAATTACAGTGAGGAGTGGAAGTTGGGTCTGAGTTAGCAGGTTGAGTAGATGCAGCTGCATATTTCTGGTGCTTTCTGCTAACCTATATGTGCCTTCCATAACTGCAAGCTCACATAGGATCAGGCTTCACGTTCATCATTGATCCCTGGGTATAGGTAGGTCTCAGGTTCAGAACAGGTTGCAGATAGGGTGATAAGACTGTCAGCTACTGGAAGGACCTGCAGGGTGGAGATCCTCCGGCATCTGGGAACTAGGGTTTACCAGGGCCAAGAAAGAATGTATGGGACCCTTGAGCACCAGCAACTGTAACTCATAAAAAGTCAGTATTTGTGGCCTCTAATCTGAAATAGCAGGCCACAATGATTTTTTTTTGGGGGGGGGGGGCATCAGGGAAGATTTGCAGCCAAGGGGATCAGGCTGACACATCATTAATTCTTCTCTGGTAAGGTGTCAGGTGCCTGTTGCAGAAGTCCTCAGCCTCACCTTTCTGAATCCTATTCTTAGAGTGGGGAAAACTGACTGCGTGATGTGAAGGGCCCACCAATCTAGCAATTCCCACAGATGACCACTAAGTATCAGAGTGACACAAAAGCATTCAGGTCCTATTGAAATGCATATTTTCAGGAGTAATCCATCCATACCCACTAACCTATCATCACAGGTCAGTGATAGGACCACAGGGTGGCAATGTGTTAGCCTAAGGCAAGCCTAGGGCAGTGGTCGGCAAACTGCAGCTCACGAACCACGTGCGGCTCTTTGGCCCCTGGAGTGTGGCTCTTCCACAAAATACCATGTGTGGGCGCACACATACAGTGCGATTGAAACTTCGTGGCCCATGCGCAGAAGTCAGTATTTTGTGGTTATCAGATTGACTGTCATGGTTGTGTTCAAATAACCCTTATTTTAATTAATAATGGGCCCCAAACAATCCACATTACTTTTAATAGAGTATATTGTTGCAGTTGTTCTATTTTATTTTTTGTTATTAATTTCTTACTGGGCCCATTATAAATTAAATTTTATCATAGGTATGCAAAGGGAAAAACCTAGGGTATATAGGATTCAGTACTATGCTAAGTTTTAGGCATCCACTGGGGTCTTAGGACATATCCCCTGTGGTTAAGGGGAGGAGACCCATTTCCACCACTGGTAAAACATCTCCAACTCATAATAATGTATATAACATTTAGATTACAATTGTGATCTGGAGAGGAAACTGTGACCTTATCCTGTGTTTCCACCCAAATTCAACTTCAAGGCTTACTGGCTTTCCTTAAAAGGGTGCAACGCTTCTGATTTGGCTACATTTCGATTCTAGGAATCCTTCTTTGGGCTTGCATGGGGAGCAATGAATATCTAAGCAGTAAGATTTCCCTTCAGGTCTTCCTCTCCCACTACCTCCTGGAACCCCGGAGAAAGCTCAGAGAAGAGGACCTAACACTACATTGTATAGCTTGGAATACTTATAAAATTAAGACAACTCAAAAAATTTAAGGTGATTTTCTCCACTCATTCAAATTCTACTCCCTCTTTTCATCTCTCTCTCCCCCTTGCTCTCCTCTCTCCCATTTCTTGCCCTCAGTGCCCCCACCCCTTTATATCTTTACTTTCAGTCACACTGGATGGTGACTGGTGCAATAACAAAGTGTTTCGGTGTAACTGAAACACGTCATTTAACTGAATTATTGCTGAGAACGTTGTTTTAATACTGTTACTAGTCAATGAAATTAGCTTTGTGAGATCCAGGTTTGTGGGATACTTTAAGATGACATGCACTAGGAACCTATATCTTTGCCCCAGTCTCTTTTCCCTAACCCATCTGGTTATACATCTTCCTCCTCTGTGCAGCTCTCCCTTCTCAGACCCTTGAGTCATTCCTTACAAACTCAGGGAAAATCAAAGGGGTATCACAAAGTACCCTTTCACCAAGAGGTCGGACAACACCACGCACAGGAAAGTAAACCCCTGGAATAACTGGGGATTTTCCTGTCAGCCACTGAGCCTCAGCTAAATTTTGCCTTTGGTGCCTCTCTCTTTGCCTTGGCAAGTAAATTAATCAACAACCTCAGTAACTTTGGGAAGACGCCCCGCCTGTCCCATCTGCCCAGCCTGGTCCCTCTTTTGCTGGGACACAGGTGAGCCAGGTAGGGCCCGGGGCGGCGGGAAGGAGAAAGCCTGAAAGTCACGCGGTGGCGTCCAGCCGCCCCGCAAGGCTTCCTCGGCCAGTGAGTTCTGGAAGCCCGCGCCCCGCCGCTTTCCCACGCATACGCACACCTGTACCAGCCCTCCTGGAGCGTCCCGCCTCCCACCCGCGGTGCGAAGACAGGATCCCCTCCATGCCTGCCACACAGCCCTGGGTGGCTCCCAGCTGCCCCTCTTGCCAGCTAGCGCCCAGCTTGGACAGGTAGAGGCCAACGCACCCACCGGCCGGGCTCTGCCACCCTCCACTCCGCGGAGTCCGGTTGGAGCACTCACAGCACCCACCACTTACTCTGGAGTCTTCAGACACCCATAGAACCCAGCCATGGTGCTTCCGACGGAGTCAGCGGCTCGCCAGGAACCTGGCCTGTTGGGGTTTATAGGAAACGGCACTGCGGGAGAACCGATGGGGATGCCGCGCTCCAGGAGCTCTGAACGCCCAGGGCTCACACGCGCGCAGCTCCAAACCAGCCGGCCGAAGCAATGAGCCAGATGAAGTTTCTTTTCCAAGGCCTCTCTCTGTCTTCTGAACTAGGTCCAAAGAGGGCTGGGCTTGTTCCTTACATGGTTAGAACAGTGAACTCCCCTTTTCCCCCTGCCTCCAACTTCCCGCGACCACAGTATCCTCAGTGTAAATACCAGATGCTCTTTCTTAGGATCTCTGTATCCCTGCAGGCTAACGAATGTGAGGAGGAGTTTGGAGGGGAAGAAGCCCAAAAGAGTTAGTGGAGACTGTTACCCAAGCAAAGAGGGACACTCCACAGCTTTGGGAAGCAAATGTAAATTAGTCGCTTTCAGGCATTTTTTATTCTGCAGGCTGGGGAGGGGGGGGAGGGACAAAGGGGATGGGGGAGGGAAAGCCCGAAAGGGAATTTAAATAGCTAGGCTGCAAGCATTCTCACCTCAATCTGAGCACTATTTTTGACCCCGTCTAAATTGTTTTGTTTAATCCCAAGGAAAACAATTAACTTCCTAAGCAAGTTTAGGGAAAAATAAAATAAAAACCACCAAGAATGTCAAAGCTGTGAATAAAATTTGAATTCACTTAAGATGGAAGTCCCCATCAATGATCATGTATATTAGTTATAACATCACTTACACTGCATGGATTCAAAGATAGTTGATCACATTGTGCCTGCAGAAAATTGAAAGAACAGGAGGGAACAAAATGTGACCTGATGTTGGCTGCCTGGAAGATCCAATATGGCATCTTTCCCAGCCACAGTCCCTGCCCTAGCATCTGAGACACAGAGATTTGCAACACTGTGATTTTTTAAGTGATTAGTAAGAATGTGAACAGCAAAGCAAATGCAGATGCAGGTTTGGGGTTCTTTTTAATTACTGAGAGAAATCAAGGGTTTAAAAAGGTCAAGATTTCTCCAGGGAAGGCAGGGGGTGGGGGGCAGTCATTAAATACCTCAGGACTGGACTTGATGACTGGACTTGATCCGAGGGCCTAAGTCTTGCTTCCTTGAATAAAAAGGAAAAAAGCCAGGTTGGGGCCTCTTCCGGGAGGGGGAGGGGATGGTGCCTTGGCCAGTCTGTAGCAGAGGGCCTGCTTTCCTTCTTTAGTGGGCAATAGGCAACAAATACCCTGTTTCTGGAATTTCATTGGATGAGTAGACCAAGGACTAGGTTTATATTGTAGATACTGAATCCTGAACTGTGGCTAAAATTTCTAGCTAGAATGTATGGTTATTTCTCTATTCATATGTGGCTTATGCATTTAGTGTGTTTTTGCAATTATGTTTTAATCAAATAATAATTTCTGGGGTGCCTACCCCAGAGGGTGGTTAGAAAAGACCAATTTTTAATTGATTTTATATTATTATTATTATTATTATTATTATTTATTATTTGGTTTCTATAAAAAGTGTATTGTCACACTCAAATGAAACAAGCTAAGTATACCATCCACAATTTAATAGAGCAGAGATACAGTGAGCTGGTTTTAAGCATTATGTTTTATAATATTGTGCAAAAAGAAAATGGGAAATCCCAAAATGAAAAGCTGAAAAATAAGTTGGAGAAATCATATTAAGTGGAAAGCAATA